CTGGCCGAGGTGCTGCTGCCGCTGCGTGCGGCAGCGCGGTCACGGTCGACACCTTGCCGACCGTCCGGCGAATTTATCCGACCAAACTGACTTAATTAACATGAATAAACTTATCAAACATGACCTGAAGGTACACCGAACGCATATTGAACATGCAAGGGCCGCGGCGAACGCCCGTGCGCCGCCGACGGCTACACGCCGTCTTTCGGCCGAACTAACTTATTATCCAACACTACCGAACAACTCAACATGACTATAATACTGAAACAATTTAGGGACTAATCACACTGACAAACATGATCGTACTGAAGGCAACAACCCTCGGCCCCTAGCCACCCGAGGCTACGCGCGGTAGGCGCGGGCGTCGGCTGGGGCCATTTCATCGACTTTACTTCATTTAACCTCGACAATTCTGAACTTATTAAACATAAAACAGGCTGAACTGAATATATAAATGATCATGGTTCGAAAGTTGTCGGAAAGAATCGAAACTTGTTCGGTAATAATCTTACTTAGGCATACACGGACTTAGGCACGGTTTTTCCTCAAATTTCTCGAACATAATCTGAATAACTAACCTTAACCTACCCTTATCAATCTGAATATGAGTTGAGGAAGGAACTACCTCTTCAATTACTGGGTCGAAACACCTCAGTTACTCGAGCTCTTCTTACTCCGTGCGTTACTTTGGTATGGTCGTGCAATAGCTTCTTGATTTGCTTAAAATATGGCACAATATCTGATCTCTTACTCAAACTTATGTAGAGAACTATGATGCTGATCGTATATGAGAGAAATGGGGAAATTTTTTGAACAAATGACCCTTTTATACTCTAATGCCGTGGAGTTTTCCCCCTTTTGGGAGATGATGTATAGCTTTTGTTGCCCCTTTTTAACTTGACACTTGTTAGCTATTTGGGAGGATTATAAATGACTCATCACTTCCCTTAAATGACACGTGTCCTTGCTTCATCAAGAGGAAATGGCTTCTTTCAAACACAAGGAATGATACTATCTTCACAAGAATTGGGACATTTTGCTTACGGCTATTACGCCTAATTGCGTAATTAATGATAATTAATCCCTTAATTTATACATAATAATTCAATTAAACATAATACTTAATTACCAAAATTATTTCGAACGCAAACGGTACGTCGAAAATAGATTTCGGTAATTCCGACTGAAAATAATTAATTCCGAGAATAACAGTTGATAACGTTATTATATCAGAACTAAAATGTAATCTATTCCGATAAAATATCGGGATATTACAATCCTCCCTCCTTACAAAATTTCCGTCCTCGGAAATTCAAAACATAGCTGAAATACATGAACTGTGTACATAAGATAAAGAAATATGTACATCAAAACTGAAAGTCTGGGAAACGAGCGCGAATGTCAGACTCTTCCTCCCAGGTAGCTCCGTGGCGATCCCACTGAATGCGCACGAGGGGAATATCTCGCTTCCGGAGCCGACGGACCTGACGGTCTAGTACAGCTACTGGTCGCTCCTCGTACGACAGATCTGGCTGAACCTGAATATCCGTGTGAGGGATAAC